TCTAAAGGCTATAAACATTTCCATTCTAGCGCACCTGGTAGACTCAGACTATTGCGTGGATGCCAGAGAGGCCTTCCGATTGATCTACAAGGTACCCTCAAGCTATTCAGATTTCATGGACAGCATCTCTTGACTACGGCAGAAGCGGCCGCCATCAAGCTACGCCGACCGGTCCTGTGCGCCAAAAAGTACTTCATCACGGCGCAACAGTTACCATGGGCAAAAGCCGCTAATCCAACAGTCAGCAGCTTATCGTCTCGGCCGACCACCAGCAGCATCCCGCCCCCAACGCTGATCAGATTTTGACCCCGATCCACCCCATCCCCCTCCCTGACAACCGTACTGGTTTGTCTACCAACCCGCATAGTTTATTTACTTAGTTACCATATAATTGTAAAAGCCTGAAGAAAATTTATCGAAAACAAACGTATGCTCGCCAATTCATATACTATTTTTATTTAGTGGATTTGTATATGTTCATCTGAGCCGCTTATATTTTGAACCAGAAATCACATATCACCATGAGTTTAACTTTTGTCTAACATAACGCCCCTTATTCCAACTCTCTACTTGTCTATGAGAGGAGATCTTCCCATGTTCATAAAAATATGTAGCATATATGAGCGTTCTGTAAATTGTACGCGGTAATAATAAATTGGGCCCACACTAATATTTATGCTGACGTGATAAATGTTATAATATATATAAATTTTTGAATCATTAATACACACTCTCAGTGATTACACAATTTAAGATAGAAAAAAATATATTACTTATTAATTAGTACAACCATTAAAATAAATGAAAAATTAGGTGCTAAGTAGCCTTTTTGACTATGGTTTACATTGGTGTTTGCACACGTACGCATCCAGTATCCTGCTGGGAATGGAATTAGTTGCAAATTGTATGCGTTCTAAATATTACTGAGGATGTCGAGTCTTTCAAAAATGGTAGTTAGCTAACTCTTTTTCCAGTGTGTCTTGCGAGGTCTTTGCAGATATTTATAAACTTTAACAAATTGTATGGAAGTGGTCGTACGTTCGATTCCATGCTGGGGCACACTCTTTCTTGGTGCGTTCTCATTTAGCAATAATCCCTTATATGTTACATATATTGCGTTATGAAATATTTTTTAATGGTATTTATTGGAGAATCTTTCCCATTTTTGCAGTAAACATCTTGAAATTGAAACACCCGATATTTGGCAAACTGTTGACACATATGTTCTTGGAAACCCATGTCAGTTTCTTCATTTACTTGAGTAATATATCGTTCACTCTAAGAGTTCCCCATGAAAAGAAACGGTGCACTTTGGCAAGCAGTCTTGAATTTTATATTTATCTGTTGAGCAAAAAATAAAAGATGAGTTCTGCGGATGTATGCAAAAGGACGTTTTTTGGCATGAAGACAATAGAAGAAGACGAAGTAAGGACTCGATGGAGATTCGCTGAGTTTGCGCAGTTCTGCAATCAGGAAATCTTACCATCCGTCACAGTGGAAGGCTCTCTCGGACTCGGGGGCGGAGACATGAATCATCGAGGCATAACCCATCACGGGTTCACTACTGACTGTCAATAAGGCCAATGCGCTGAGCCAGCTTCTTGGACTTCCGCTTCAACTCTCGCTGCATCAAGTCAAAGCACATGCAGACGAGGGCCAACCCAAGGAGGAGGTAGGTGATGGCTGCAATAAACTTTTGTGTTTGTTTGCTAAAATCACCATCCTCGATGCCCGGAATTAGATCTCCGAAGCCGATAGTAGAGATGGTAATAAAGACGAAGTAGGTGGCATCCGTGAATGACCAGTTCTCCCAATGGGAGAAGATGACTGCCCCACCGAAAAGGTAGAGGAAGAATAAGAAGAGGGTGAGCAGGATGGGCACACGCACAGTACGACTCTGCTGGCGGACTCGAGCAGCCCGTGCAAAGAATGAATTGGTGCCCATCAGGGAGACAAAGAGGCTTTCCGTGATCCCGGGCAGCGAGGGCTTTTGCACCAGGTGGTGCAGGGCTCTGGTCGTGGGTGGT